CTCTCTCTCTCGTTATATGGGACGCTCTACTGTAAGGGGTCCTCGTTGCCTTGCCTCTTTCCCTTGCCTCCTGATTCCGTATACGCTATCTATTCTTTGCGTACGGTGCTCTGGTTGTCAAGGCTCTCTTGGTCTGTACTCCTTACGTGGTCGTGTATCCCTTGCGTGGATATTGTCCGGCTGACCCGAACTGAGCCTCCTTCAGGGTTCAACCCATCACACGTAATATAGTTTACGAAATCTGGATTATTGCCTTATATGCGGATACGTTGTTATTTTCATCTATCTCGAAGAATCCTACGGGTCCATCCCATTGTGGACACCGGAGCTGACCTACAAACAAGGATTTGATGACTCGTATACGGTCGACATAACCCACGCCTCACAGTCGTTAAGCACCACTGCATCAACAATCCGGGCGGTCTTTTATACTTTCACCGCGCTGTGGCAGACCATACCCAAGCAACTAATCCATGTTGTCGACTATCTTATAACTATACCCTTATTTTAGGGCCGATGATCGAGAGAGACCGTGATTATGTCTGCATCCTCGAAAATCCATGAGCAAATCGACGACATAGCACTCTCAAATTTGAATGTGCTCTATTGGGATATGGCCCATGCTCAATCATGGCCCATATTAATCGAGAGTCATCCACAGACGAGACTACTGTACTACCCGAAAACATAATTACTATCTTTGATGACGCGAGGCGAATATTCATTTCCTATGGCCGACTCACAGGAAATGACCTTCGGTCTATGATCGCTTATACACGAGCTCAGGGCGTTTAAATCATTCCTAAAACCGGTCTGCCTCTCCACATATCGTACTCTGGAATCAGCAACGACGATCTAGGATAGTTACTTGTTTTATCTATAAGTAATCCAGCTAACCAATTAACTATTCCATACGCATCTTCACGTCTCCACCCGAATTTGGGGGCATGGGCCTAGATGCGAACGAGACTTTGCAACTGTTAGTCGAGTAATCTTCATTTGCACGATCGGGCGCCTCACGCTTCGCAGCAAGCCAACGCCGTTGACCGTCACCAATAGCCTCGCTTGGGCGGAAGAATCACTATTTCGTTACAAGAGAGCTCCGAGGTGCCTCTGGTCGCGCGCCATGTACGAGAGCACCACAGTTATATCGTGCCAATTCTCCAGCCACTGGCTATTGAAGCGTCGCGCTTAAAAACAAAAAAAACACGCAAGCGCGAATATGCATGTCAGTAGATTTATACCCTCAGGGCGGGGACTATTCTGTTGTGGAGATTAGTGTATACTAGACACTCGTTAAAAGACGGTATACTGGGGGGAAACACCCATGATGCAGGGACGAGGGTTATTACTCTTTATTCGGCTTCAATATCGCAGCTCATCTGTCGTTCCTGCGGTGAAATTTGTGACGTTAGCTCCGGAAGCTTTGAGAAGGGTCGAATCCCACTTACCGGGAAGAACGCGTCACCGAGCAAACCCCCCAGAAGGTCACCGAAATTCCCGTTGTCCCATTTGCCGACTTGGCAATTGTCGGAGGAAGAATTCCAAGATCTTGCACCAAGCTCGAATATGAGGACCTGTTTTTCCGCATAAGGGGTGAATAGCGCCAGTCCACTGACTTCGCGTCGCCTCAGCTTTTGGTCCCTATCCTCGAGATGAGCAGTAACGAGTAAGGGCTGTGGTAATCTTGAGCCGTCCACTCGGAGAGTGTCGTTCCACTGAAGCGATCCTTTCGTAAATTGGAGCACTTGCCCATTCTGCATAACCTGGACTGCAAGATATACAGCTTTCTGCCCGACGTTTTGGCCGAGGGCCTGCCAGACGTGGATATGGTACGCGGCCGCGGAGGACGAAGTTTTCGAGGGAGAACTTGCCTGCCCCGTCGATGTGAGCGTGGGGTCGCTCGAGGACCTCTTCGGTGACCCGGTCAGGGACGTTACGCTTACGGATGTTGAGCTAGTAGGTGAAGGAGTTGAGAGCGATGTGCCTGGCAGCGTGGTCGAGCTGGAGAGTATTGTGTCTGTAGCCGCCACTCGATCTGTGGAGTCTGGCGAGGATGAGAGAGATGAGGTCGCGAGATATATACTTGATAGTGATGAACTTGTACCAATAGCAAGACCTGTTGAGTCTTGCGAGCTTAGCGGTG